CTCCTCCCCAAAAGGAAAAAAAAGAAAGTGAAGCGGCAGCGAGCTGTCGCGTGGCTTCGCAAAACTGCGCGTGGATTTTCTGCACGCGACAAAAGCAAAGGCGATGAACATTTCACCTCATTGCACTCCTCCTCACGGTCGCACCGGCCATTTATACCTCACAGCCCCTTCGGTGTGCGTGGTGTCCCTCGCGGGCCACGCGTCACCCCCTGCGCGCCCCATCGCTGCGGCGCACCGTCCCCCGCCTGCGTGCACTGGGCAGAGACGCAAGCAGCCACACGGGGAGCTCTCGCCCCCTCCACAGCGAGAGTGTAAGCAAGAAAAGAAAGCAAGAATTATTTAACATAAAAAGGAAAAGAAAAAAGGGACTGCACTGAAGAGAACAATCAACGAACGTCAAACACACTCTGCACGCATTCCAGCGCGGGCCGCACCGCCTCCTCCCTCGCTGCCGTGATATCCGGCTCAGAGGAGCGAGACACATCCCCACAGCCCCAGCAGAAGCGGCAGCAGCAGCGGCGAGAGCACAGCAGAGGGACGCTCACGCGCAGTGCCGTCGCCGCCCCCAGCCTCCTTCTGCACTGTGCCCGCAGCCTCCTTCGCAAGTGCGGCGGAGGCGTTGTTGAAGCCCGGCGCCGGAGGACCGCGCGGCACCGAGGCATCCCCCGCAGAACTCCCAGCCGCGTCGGTCGTCGCGGGGCCAGTGCCGGCTGCCACCGGCGGCCCCTCCGCCACGCCGCCAGCTGCTGCAGCCTCGTCGTGCGCAGAGTTCTTCGGGTCACTGACAGCGGGTGCAGCGGTGCGAAGCGGCACCTCCTCCGGTTCCGTCACGCTGGCCTCCTCCTTCCTCTCCAGCGCCGCAACCTCACTGGCGTTGAAGCAGCGGCTGTACAGAAATACGTTCGTCACCGTCACGTGGACCTCTGCGTTTACTTCGTCGTACCTGTATTCCCCAACGAAGATGTGCGAGACCCTCTCATGCTGAAATTGCTCATGAGGAGGCAGAGGCAGAGGCGGAGGCGGAGGAAACACGTCAGTAAATGGAGGTTTATCCTCCAAACTCCCCACAAGCTGCCCGTCGACGTATGCCGAGCCCGTGCCGTTCCCCACCGTGAGCACCACTCGGTAC